GTATATTTTTGTATAAAAAAATAGTGTATTATATTAAATATTATATTATTAAAATATTATATTAAATATATTGATCTTATATTATATTAATAATTATATAGTATAGCATGCTAATATAATATAATATAATATAATAATTAATAATATTAATTAGTAATTATAGTACAACATATTATATTTTAATTTAAAGTAAAATAATGTTTATATTATAATAATATACTAAATAATATACTAAACCAATTGGATAAGTTAATTTAGAAGTAATTAATAGATAAAATTATATTTTAATAATGTGTCACATCATCAATTATCTCACATAAATTATCAAATCAAATGCTCAAATTATCTTATTATCCCACTTATTCTACTTTACCACACTCAAAATATCCCAAAGGGATAAAACTGTTCCATTGAAATAATTTTTCTACTTGGCCCCAATTTGTCCCAACCAACAACCCCCCCTCCTCTTAATCTCGAGACTGCTGAGGGGTTTTGTTCATCTCCACGCTTCCTCCTAGCAGCTCCAACACTTCCGTGATTCATGGTTCTTTTTTATTCAATCATCAATCAGATCCCATACCAACCCAGCAATTTGCCCTCACCATCAACATCCCAAGGAACATTATCTTGCCCTCTTGCCTCTTCTGTCGAACTCTACTCTCATATAAACTCATTACGATCACATCCGGAAGTTTGGCTCTTACTCACGTCTCTTCTTTACAATGAGATTTTCTTCTTTATAGCGTTGACATCAACCAGTGAGATTTTCTGCACAATGAGCTTCTCCTCTCCATGGCCTCGACATCGACTACTAATATCATTTTCGTTGATATACAATGATTCCTATCCATTGTGTTCAATTGCTCTGTCACTAAGATTTTCTCTGTTGATGTATAAGGATTCTTATTCCTCGCTGTTGATCTCACTGACACTTAGTTTTTCTCTATCGATACCCTTGGGTTTTCAATACCATTGGATTCATGCTACTATATGCTCCAATTCTGTCATTAAGGCTCAGATACCATGGAAATTTTTGCTCATCCTATCCAAACTCACGGTTTTCACACTAACGTAAGTTTGAGGTGATGTCAAATATAGTATGACATGAATAAAGTATAGTAAGGTATAATCTCATTCACTATTTTAAAAAATCTCTGCCTAGTCCGCTTAGGCGTACGCCTAGGCCTAGGCGGTACCTAAACGGTCTAACTAGCGCGTAATGTCTAGGCGGTATTTAGGCTGCCCACCTAGAGTTTACGAGTATTTAGGAGAGCATTGTCTGCTT